ATCACTATGCCCATGATGAGTGGGCTAGAGACCAGGCACAGATTTAACTGGTCTGCAAGTATTTTCTTACACTGTACAAGTTTTAGTTAATGCGTCAGTGGGTAAGTTAACTGATAAACTCACCTGCAGATTTTAGTTCTTGAGGAATTCACCCCATCTTGCATCCTGATGCAGCAGAGCACCTTCCGCACAGTGTTGTCCTTGTTAAGCTCATTCTCTGTGGCTGATGGGAACCTGTGGAGACAGTTGCTGCATTAGAAAGCCAGCATGTTAGCAGTAGCTGCTAATTAGGAACAGCTCGTAACGCTCAGACATCCAAGGAAGATTTGAACCATCTTTGGTGTTTAAACCTCTGGTGGAAACTACGAATGGCAGGAAAAACATCATCACAGCGCAGGAAGACGCTTCATATGCATAACAAAAAGCACAAAGGAAAACTTACCTTGACTGTGCTGGAGACAAACTGTTGTGTGTGTCATCCTCGTCAAAAAGAACGCTGTTGAAGCGTCAACATCAAGCTGAAAGAAGAAAACACCATTCAGTTAATAGTTCAAGGCCACAGTGACCAGAGTAACTGGATCTCAAGAGAGTTAAATCAGCACAATTACTACACATTAGCTTTTACACTAGTCTGCCGTTTCATCCAAAGTCTACAGATCTGTGCATCTACAAAAGGGCCAAAATCTCGACACCTCTAGCCTTTGCGATCTTGTTTTACTTAATTTATAAATACAGATTAGGCATAAAATGTTTTCTATCATTTATTAGTTCCTATGACAATTTAGTAGGTGTGTGCATACCATGTATTTTATTTTAAAGTAAAGAGTTCTTATTTGATTTTATTCAAGTGGGTATTTTACTGACACTGACAATTTGTAACTTTGCTATGAAAACTACATTTCATTCTTATTAGTCTTAAATAAGCAACTGATTTCAAATCTGATTGCGGCAGCCATTTTTTAAAATTATATCATGTAAATTAGTCAAAACCTAAAAAAAAAAAAGAAAGAAAAAAAAAGCCTGCATCTAGTTAATGTTTAAACAGTTTCCTTTAATACAGGTTTGCTCTGAATCCGTACTTTTGCACTTTTTGTAGTTAGGAGGATTTTTTAAAATCATTTTATTTTTCATGCATTTTTAGTAAATAACCCATTCATTAATCGTATACCTAAAATAACTGAGCTTAATGCTGTTTCACCATACCTGATACCAAAGGTCTATTTCCCTGATTATAATTTGTGCAACACCCCCACCACGTGTTCAGCTGATGGAAATTTCTGGATACTCCTTGCTTATCGTTTTAAATAAAGGGCGCGTTTAAAAAAAAAAAAAAATTAGTAAAAATTATAAAACAATTGAGCTATTATTGACATGCCTATTGATAAAACTTAAAATTATTACACCTTCGGTCACATTTTAGACCCTCTTCATGCCACCACATGGTTTTAATTTATATATCACTTGTATGTATGACTAACGCAGCGGTGTAACTCTAACTGAAGTGTAATTAACTCTGAATAAACTCTACAGACGTGATGTTACGAGAAAACCACGTGACAAGTTTACAACGACTCCCACACAATCTGCCACCATCCGTGAAATAAACGCCTCATCGCTGGTAAATATCGGCACGTTGCATCTCAACACAAAGTAATTAACAAATACAACGTTACATTTATTAACTAATATAAAGATTAAACGCATATTTACCCAGACGCAGACCAACACTCTCCACCTCGACTGCAGGCTCAAATGACGGAACACAGAGCTCCTCACCCTTTTATCTACAGGCGGCGACTAAATGGTGTAATTCAGTTTTACCGCCGCCTGCTGGACCGGAGGCGGAACTGACACACTGTTAGTGCCTTCTTTTTAAAATGTTTTGTATTCATTTCACGTAAATAAATAACTAATGCATTTCATATAAATAATAATTTCATATTATATTTCTATTTATTGATATAATACATGGCACATGGTTTCAAAAATATTTAACTCTGGTTAAATGGTGACATGGTGCGTTATCCTGCTGGAAACAGCCATCAGAAAATGGGTACACTGTAGTCATAAAGGGATGGACAGGGTCAGCACAGGCCTGTGGTGTTTAAATGATGTTCAGGTTGTATTAACACCATACTTGCACCACCTGCAGCCTGAACCATTGATATGAGACAAGATAGAACCATGCTTTCATATTCCGGCCCTACCGTCACAGCAGAGATTGAGACTCATCACACCAGAAAAGTTTTCTCTCTCACTTTTCTCATGTGAATTTAGCCTCAGTTTCCACCGAGTGTGGCCTTCTGCTGCCGTAGCCTTCCTATCAGATTGAAGCAGTCTGACCATTCTCCTCTGACCTGGATATTTTTCTCTTTTTCAAACCCTATTGATGAGTGTTGAGGAAAATCCCAGATCAGCCATTTCTGAAATACTCAGACCAGTCTGTCTGGCAACAACAACCATGCTCAAAGTCACTTTAATCACATTTTTTCCTCATTTTGATGTTTGGATTGAACTTCAGCAGGACATCTTGACTATGTCTTCGTAGCTAAATCATTGTGTTGCTGCTGTGTGATTGACTCATTAGATATTTGCATTAAGGCAGAAACTTATATCATGAACCAGACAGAAATAAACACATAAAAAACATAATAATTAGAATATATGATGAATAAATAAAACCAGCAAAACTTGACTTCTCTTTAATTTAATATTTGATTAAAAACACAATTCTGTTAAACGTATTTTTCTAAAACAATTTTGAGTGGATTAAAGGTTGATCAGAGGGAGAGAGACACAGAGATAAAGAGAGAGAGAGCCTCCCTCACTGTCACTGAATAACTGACTAACAGAACAGCCAATCACCTCTGCCCTGTACTCTCCATCTCGCTCCTGATTGGTGGATGCTGCAAAGATGACTGTTTGGTGCGTTCCTCCTCTTCCCCTCCTCTTCATCCCCTCCCTCCTCCGTGTGGTGGTGGTGCTGCTGCTGCAAGCTGCTGGTGTTGCCGTGACGATGATATCCTCCCCCTCCCACACACACACACACACTAAGAGGACAGGCAGCAAACAAGACGCTCTCGTGACGCGATGGCTTCAGGCTGGAGAACAGACAGCAGTGATCGGCTGCGTCTGAGGAAAACATGGTGAGTGCTCTCTTTAATTTCCAAGATGAGAGGACAGACGGACGACTGCGTGGACAGATGGATGGCTGGATGATTGATGGGTGGAGGAATGTGTGAGGATGACAGCAGCAGCAGCTGTAGCATGCTGTGTTTTCTTGATAGGGAGAGAGAGAGGGAAGAGGGGAGGATGGACAGACTGCAGATGGATGAAGGTGGAGGACTGAATGAATGAATGAATGCATGAAGAAACTGATCAGCTTTAAAGCACATACAAGCCTGTGTGTGTGTGAGTGTGTATGTGTTTGTGTGTGTGTGTGTGTGTGTGTGTGTGCTGCCAGGCCTGTAAATGCAGGTTAGCATCCTGAGTGCTAACAGTAACAGTAGGTACGTCACTCCTGTGAACCAAAACTGGGCTGATCTGCTTTCATTTCTACAGCCACATATAAACAGACAAACACATACAGATATGGATGGATTAGCAAACAGACAGCAGGGGCAGGGAGCAGCAGGTCAGAGCTTGTTTGATGTTTGAAGTTAATGTTTCTTCATTTAAAGTCAGTCGAGTGACTACAAAAAATAAACTGACCACAGAGATAAAGAGAAGATGTTGAAATTACAGAAAAGATGCCAAATAAGCAATAATGATACAGAAAAAA